TCAGCTGTACAACCTGGAGAAGATGTTCGCTGGTATCTCAAAGTTTGCTGGTGCCATCTTCAACGGCGACTCGAAAGACCGCAGCTCTGATATCATCAACATTTTCTTCAAGGAGCGGGACAGGGATGAAACTACGCACAACCAGGAGATTCAATATCGCAAACAAGTTGAAAGGCTGGTTAAGGACGGCGACATCTACCGCATTAGTTACGTAAGTTCGCTGATTAGTTTGAATGATCTATCGAAATTGTCTCTAACAGATTGCCCTTTATAGCATCCGAATACCAAGAAGACTACGGTGCAACTGTTGACCCCCGAGGACGCTACCTTGGAGAATGAGGAATTGAGTCAGGAAGCGCGGTGGTCGTACTACGTCTCCGCTTATACCATGCGCGACCCAACAGAAGGCGTGCCTTTCTCTCAGTTGCGCATGCCATTCCTCAAGCGAAACCTACCACCTAAGCTCGAACAGGAAGAAGAATACAATCGTTATTATCGCCCCCTTGTGCACCAGGATGGCCTCATCATCCGAATCTGCGCCAACAGTTACCATATTTTATATGAGCCCGGTAGCTACGATTGGTGGTGGCGTCCGACCGCTTCCCCGGATGAGTCGGCCGAGGAAATTGTCAAGGAAGCGGCGGCGATCAAGGAAAAGCGTCGCGATCGGTTCACTGAGCGATTCGTCAATAACCCCATGTGGGCGCACGGTCTTAGCAAGGATCAGGTGGACGAGATGAATCAGCGTTTCCGTTCGTGGGTCAAGGGCACCGATCCTGAGAATAGTGCCCCTGCTCCGGAGGCGCCCAGCTCGGATAAGAAGGACGACAAAGAAGATACGGACATGGCTGACGCTGAACAGAACGCTTCTGATTCTAACAAGGAGGAGTAATTGAGAACCCCGTGCGTCCTCCTGGTTGGAGAGGGACGTTCGAAATAAAGACAGATGGCCTATGTAGGATGGAGTATCTCCTGACATGAATGAATCTTTGCACATGAAACCATATCCAGATATCCCTCGCGTCGGTATGGGAAGGAGTCAAGGACAAGATTTCTCTTTCCCGTTCTCACGTTTTCTTCCACGAGCCGTGTTTTATCAATTCTGTTTTCTATACTTTTTTTTATTTGTTCGAGGGTAGTGGATCTGATACCTGCATGACCAGCGAATATGTTCAATGGCTTACACGAATGGGTTTGTCGCTTCTGGGATCTCGGCTAGAGTGGTCCTTCGCTTGCCGGGGAAACGCAGTCTGGGGCAGACAGGCACTGGGGTTCGCCCTCGTTGCAGCGGCTCCCCGGCTTTCATGGACCCACGGACGAGATCTCTTCTGGATTGGTGTAAGGGATTAGGGATGGATCACATATGGGTTGCTATTCACTTTGTACTTTCTCTGTACTTTACTTAGGGAGATCTGGTTGATCAATGATTATGGCTTATTGAAATCCTCTTTACGGAGTACACCATGCTCCTTCATTTCAATATGATTTTTCTGTATTTATGCCAAGACACGTGACTCTAGGGAGGTAATAATCTTTCCTAAAACAGTAAGCTCAAAAATTAAGCGAAGACGGTGAAGGAATCGACCAATAGAAGTGCCCCTCGTGAGTTGCAAGCCGAATCTCTGGCTACTTATCCTTGCAACTCACAGGGTTTCTCAGGTAATGCCGAGTTTCAGGTACCTGCAGCAACAAACCCCCGACGGATGTACGGACCATCTCCGGATCCAAGTTACCATTAGTAGTCTATAAGTAGCCGTGTGATGGATATTTGTCTCGGCATCGGTTGATCATGGCCAATGATGCCTACGGACGAAAGCTCCGTGTGGCCGAAGACTGATAACCGATACAGGCCGAGACTGGGCCGATGGGGCCAGACCGGACGAGACTCGGGATCAGCATGGGGATGTTGTTTAGAGGTATGATCATTGGGATGGATATAGAGCAGAGAACACTTTATGTACGCTCAATAGGACTACTCTTTTGCGATGAAAGATACTTTTGCAGCAGGAATCTTATCAAGGGTCAACCCGAGCAGGAGATGAGTGCTTGATATCAAGATGACGTCGGGCACATGGAAGGATAAGAGAGCCGAGAATATGCCGAAGTGACGTCAACAGTAAAGCTTCGACTGAAACTATTTCCACTCCGTGCTCGAAAAGGAGAAAAAAAAAAAAAAAAGACAAAGGAATAATTGTGTCTGATCAGTGTAGTTTCATCTATTCAAATCACTTGAATATATGAATCATACAGGTTTACGTGTTTCTGAAACCATCTCAGACTGTTCTTGTCTCGACGGTGCCGCCAACTGTACAGCTCTTCTAGGAGGAGATAGCGAATATCTATGAGAGAGGTCCTCGTTAATAAAAATCTAATTCTGGACTAAGGGCGCAAGAAATGCCCAATAAGACCGGCGCAAATCTAATCCTTCCACGTAAAGCAATCTTACTAGCAGTAATTAAAGGATTCCATTTGGAAAGAATTCAATACCTGTCATCCATTGTGCCGGGGTTCATCCTCTCCACTTTGGGGTGTTTGTGGCGGGGGGGTTTGAGTTCCTGTACCATATTTCTATCCCCAAAGCTTCCCATCCGCGTGCTTCCTCTTTTTAAATTCTTCTTCTTTTCTCCATTCCCTCCCTTCCTCTCCTCTCCACTCCTCCTTGGTTTCCTTTCCTACCTTCTCCTTCTCCAGCACATACACACAATGTCTGCTTCTGCCCTTCTAAGAAGCCGTGTCAGGCGGCCTTCCTACCTCAAGAAGCTGGCTAAGGCAGAGGACCTGATCGAGTTTTTCCCTCATGGCTCTTACATCGGCTGGTCCGGGTTTACGGGTGTTGGATACCCCAAGTAGGTCAACATTCTTTACCATAGTGAATCCTATTGGGCTAACAGTCTATCTTCTACCACCAGGAAAGTCCCAACGGCGCTGGCCGACCATGTCGAGAAGAATGGACTCGAAGGAAAGCTGCAGTACACCCTGTTTGTCGGTGCTTCATCTGGTGCAGAGACGGAGAATCGCTGGGCTAGACTGAATATGATCGAGCGTCGGAGCCCTCACCAGGTTGGCAAGGAGATTGCCAAGGGCATCAACAACGGACAGATTAAATTCTTCGATAAGCATCTGAGCATGTTCCCTTCAGATCTGGTTTATGTAGGTTGCTCCCAAAAGTATTTCACCATGGATGAGACGTTTTAACACTAGTTTTAGGGCTGGTACACAATGAACAAGCCTAAGAACAGGCTGGATGTCGCTGTCATTGAGGCATCCGCCATCACCGAGGATGGTGGTATCATCCCGGGTGCTTCCGTCGGTGCTTCCCCGGAATTGGTTCAAATGGCCGATAAGGTCATCATCGAAGTGAACACCGCCAGCCCTTCATTCGAGGGTCTCCATGATATCACCATGTCTGATCTTCCTCCGAACCGCAAGCCTTATCTCATCATGCAGCCCGAGGACCGTATCGGAACTCCCCACATCCCGGTTGACCCCGAGAAGGTTGTTGCCATCGTCGAGTCGGATTACCCCGACCAGACTCAGCCCAACGCCCCAGAGGACGCGTCTTCGCAGGCCATTGCGAGCAACCTGATTGAATTCCTGAAGCACGAGGTCAACCATGGCCGCCTGCCCCAGAACCTATTGCCGATCCAGTCTGGCATTGGAAACATTGCCAACGCTGTCATTGGTGGCTTGAGTAAGGGCGGTGCTGATTTTACCAACCTGAAGGTCTGGACCGAGGTGCTGCAGGATTCTTTCCTGGACTTGTTCGATAGCGGCAACCTGGACTTCGCCACGGCGACTTCAATCCGTTTCTCTCCCGACGGATTCAAGCGTTTCTACGACAACTGGGAGCGCTATGCCGGCAAGCTCCTCCTCCGCTCTCAGCAGGTTTCCAACTCCCCCGAGATCATCCGTCGTTTGGGCTGCATTGGCATGAACACCCCCGTTGAGGTGGATATTTATGCTCACGCCAACAGCACCTGTGTCATGGGCTCCCGCATGCTGAACGGTCTTGGTGGCTCCGCCGATTTCCTCCGCAACTCGAAGTACAGTATCATGCACACTCCCAGTACCCGCCCTAGCAAGGTTGATCCTACCGGTGTCAGCTGTATTGTGCCTTTCTGCACACACATTGACCAGACTGAGCACGATCTGGACGTCGTCGTTACTGAACAGGTAAGCTTTTTTCCATTCGCATTGTGCATCGTATCTTGCAATACTAACGTCCGTAGGGTCTTGCCGACGTGCGTGGTCTGTCTCCTCGCGAGCGTGCTCGTGTCATCATCAACAAGTGCTCTCACCCCGACTACAAGCCAATCCTCACGGACTACCTCGACCGGGCCGAGTTTGAGTGCCTGAAGAAGGGCATGGGCCACGAGCCTCACCTGCTCTTCCAGGCCTTCAAGATGCACCAGAACCTGGCTGAGAAGGGAACCATGAAGATCAACGGCTGGGACTAAACCAGTTGCATCTCACTCTATTTGAACAATAAAACATTCGATGGATAAAAGCATAGATGGATACACTATGTATTAAGATCTATTTTTGATATGCTTGGGTTGGCGAAGGGTTCATGGGGTCCGGAGTCTGATGTGTATGTTCAATATCGTTGTTTTTAAGCACAGTATATAATGAATTCGATACGCAATAGCTTAATAATTTTCGTTCATGTATGTACCAGTGCATCGTCCCTGGCTTTAAGGCTTCTCGGGCTTTACGGCCGGAGATAACTTTTAACAGAGCTGCCAAACTGGAGTTGCTTAGAAAGCAGTGGGAGATCGTTTGCATGCAGGCGGAGATAAGGCCTCCCACGGAAATAGCAATGTACAATATCTAACTATACGAGACCGATGACAAATATGTCCATGGCTACATCAATACAAAAGGCTATAAAGGTGGATATATCCTTGTCGACTAAAATGACAAACCAATAATATCCAGATCTCCCTACAAAGAGCAACCTCAAACCCATCTCTACCGACCCGAAGTCTATACAAACCACCATGAGCACCCATATCTCCAGCAACAAACTCGCCAACACCCGTGTTCTCATCGTAGGAGGCACATCCGGGATTGGCTTCGCCGTGGCCCAGGTGGCCCTCGAGCACGGTGCCTCCATCATCGTCGCCAGCTCCAAATCCGACAAAGTCAACTCCGCCATCACCCGTCTGAAATCCTTCTACCCCGACGAGGAGCACACAAATCGCATCGCCGGCACCGTCTGCAACCTTGCTGACCGCGAAACCCTCGAAGCCAACGTCGTAAACCTCTACAACTTCGCCACAGTCCCCGATACCTTCCCGAACGCACAGGGAACCCAAACCACGGACGGCAAAGTCCTCCTTGACCATGTGGTGATGACCGCCGGGGATGCTCTCAGCCTCCGCAACCCCACCGACCCAACCTTCGATGTCCCCTACATCGAGTCTTCGGGCACCGTCCGCTTCATCGGCTCACTCATCCTCGCCAAGCATGCCGCGACCTACGTGCGTCAGGCGCCATCGTCGTCGCTGACCTTCACCAGCGGCGTGCTGACCGCACGCCCGGCACCGGGGTGGACGCTGATGGCCGCTTCCGGGGCTGCTATCGAGGGTATGGCGCGCGGACTGGCGGTTGATCTGGCGCCTATTCGGGTGAACACGGTTGCGCCGGGGGCGGTGCTGACGGAGATCTTTGGCACTCTGGAGACGGATAATCTGGAGCAAATGGTGGAGATGTTCCGGAGTCAGACCCTTACCGGGGAGATTGGGAAGCCGGAGGATGTGGCGGAGGCGTACCTTTATCTTATGAAGGATCGGTTTGTGACGGGGGAGTTAATTGGGAGCAATGGGGGTAGGTTGTTGAAGTGATGATTTCGTTTTTGCCCTTCTTCCTTTTGTGAGTTGTTTTACGGATCTTGAGGTATATGGTATATATTCATTCCACTTTTTTTATATAAGCGGGGGATATAGATGATACATGGGCATAAAACGATGTCTATGAACAAGAATGAACATCTTAGGTTTTAATTTGTCAATGTTCAATAATGGTTCTACCCAGTGTAGTTTGATCATCTGATAGCATATTTCATTGTGAATTGAAAATATGGCCAGCGGACAGAGTATCGTTATTCATTGTATATTCTATTTTTGAAAGAACCAGTTCAGACGTTCAATTCCACTAAAAGGAAATAGATGGAGTACGCCAATGGGAATTGCTCCGAACTACTGTATATTTTCAGGGCTATGATGTCATTTCCATAAAAAAGATGCGAGCAACATCCGGAGTGGTGTTATAACACCCTTCTCCCCAACCTCAACTCATTCCAAGCCAAACCAAAAAATCAGAAAATATTTACACAATATCATTACTCCTGTAAAAGAAGATAAACTAATCAGAAAAAGTCAAATGGTAATGAATATTCCACGAACCACCCAATCCAACAATGAACCCTACCCAAAGTAGCCATGGATCATGCCACCCGACGCACCCTAAGGAAGCCAACCACACCACCCAAATATCATACCACACACTGCAATCCTTTTCCACCGCCCGCAACCAATAATCCCAAGCCCTATTGGACGCGCACCTACCAATATAACGAATCCTCCCGATATCATATGCCCAATTTACTTCTCAGGTTTCCATAGAAAGTATACCGCCAGGAACCCGGGGGCTTGGTTTTCAGCCGCGGTTGGTAAGGTGATGCCATTCGGATCCGGAACAGCGGTTGCGTTTGTGGTGCTGGGATGTGGCATCATGAATGGCGAGAGGTTTGGGTGATTGATGGATGTTGGACATGCGTGTTGGGTATATAAGGGCTTGGAACATGGATGGGCTTGGTATCTATTCCTCCTCATCATCAGAACAACATAACAAAGTGAGCCTTGAGATCTCACAGTGACTACTCTCTTGTCCATTGCACTGAAAACCTTCTGGGTTATTTGATCCTCTACCATCATCCACCGAATCTATCGGACAAAACCCACAAGACAACATGTCTAAAGCATCAACCGCCGCTCGCCTCCAAAACGACTTTGGTGCAGACCTTTGGGTCAAGAACCAGGCCCAGGCTCGCGTATGTCCATTCTAATCCCCCCCAATCTCCATTTATGGACTCCCATCAGAGCCTCCCAACAAATATTGACTCGATCTATAGCAAGCAACAGCCGGACGAGGTCTCTTTGCCGGCCTCCAAGACGTCAAGCACTACAACGTCGAAAACGGATGGGCGAAGCGCTCCGCCGCCAACGAACAGCCAGGCTTATAGGGCTTCTGTGGAGTAGGTTAGTATATCCTATTCCGGAATGGTAGTAGGTACAGTATACTACGCCGGAAACTCTCATCTCTCTCTTGAAATCTTCAAAATTCTCTATCTCTCCACTTCTCCTCAGCTCGTGTGGCTTGCGTCGCTAACGGTTGGCTTGTTTTAGAATCACCGGTCTTGGCTATCGGTCTCCTAATTAATGAGGATGTGGTGTTTTCAGATTGGATTGGAGTTCTATCGTGGATTTAAAGTGTTGGGTTTCTTTCATCGGTTTCGTTGCTTTCAACTAGCGTGATGCATTTATGAGATATTAATTTGATAACCATTGTTGTGTGCCATGATGGCTTTTGGTCGAGGTAATTTGTAGGTCTTGTTTACTTAGGATTAGGGTCGATTCAATACCCAGATGGCCCTAAGGGTGATTATCCCGCATTGGTCTATGCAGAGGGTACACCATGAGGATGTCTCGCCCGTTGCTCAGAGATACGCTCCATGATTTACCAATACAGTCGGGCATATATACACTTCTACCCTAAGATTTTAAATCGGCCACAACTACGAGATTTATCTATAAATTGCTTCTTAATTCCAACGAGGGAGCGAAAGAGAGAGGATTACAAAGAGATACCATACACTAATTCACCAGCCCTCTCAGCACACAGCAACATAAGCCACCTCAAGTAGTTCTTTTTCTCACTAAATCCAGCAGCCATGACCCGGATCATACACAACCGACTCACCGTTAAGTCCTCCTACTTCAAAGAAACTATCCTTCTTCACCCTGCAAAAGCGCACCTGCCCTGCGTCGAGCACTGTAACCCCAGCTCTCTTCATCTTCTCGTCCATCTATAGAATCAGATAAATGAAAAGAAAGGAGGAGGATCCCTCAAGGATTCCGGGGTACCTTTTGCTGGTTATGGATTATGTATTCGGTGGGCAAGTTTAGGGAGGTCTTTGGGTGGAGGGAGATGGGGGTTTGGAGGATGATCATGTTGTATT